TGATCTAAACGGGATGTGGGTCAAGTAGTGCTCCTCCTTCTCGTGATCCGAGGGGCCGATGGGGACCTTCACGGATCGGTGAGGCCTCGCCTCCTCAGAGGCATCCAGGGGGGCTGGAATGCGTCGTAGCGCCTCCCTGGGGGCCGCCCGGGCCTCTACAGGTGCCGCGTCCGCCGCCGCGGGGCCTACCGCAGGCGCGGGCTGCACCTCCTCCGCAGTCGCGGGCTCAGCCGCAGACGCGGGCTCTCCTACCTCGATGGCCGTTGGGACGCGCGCTGCGCGGATCCCTCGGGCCTGCCGCCGAAGCCTCAACCACGGCACGTCCGACTGCATGACGAGGTCGACGCAGCCTCCCCTGGCAGTGCGAAGCATCTCGCGCTCCGGGGCGATCACGACAGTCGCCCCTCCGCGCCGCAGCGCGGAGGCCGAGAGGATCAGGCAGTTCACGTTCGTCACGTTCCACGTGATAGCCAGCTCCTCCCCGTAGTCCAACACGTAGGTGATGTTCTTGGTGCCGTAGTTCTTGATGGGCTCGCTCGTGGCACTCACCATGGGACGAAGATCCCTACGAGGAGGCAGCATGGGAACATCAGGTGCGTAATCAGCAGGGCATGCCACGACCCCCGACCCAGAGTCCAGCAGGGCGAGCTCGACACCACCATGTCCCACCGCAGCAATCATGCCAGCAGGCTGGATCATGTTGACCGTCAATGGATCGTCCACGGCTCGTCCGGAGACGAGCTGGATGCTGCGCCGGAGCCCTGACGAAGAACTGCCGGGGTTCCGGGTAGATCCGGCGGCACGGGGCCTAGACCCACGACGACGGTGCCTGGGGGGCGAATGGAGTGGATGCCGTGCGCTGGAGGCGCTCCCCCCTGGCCCGGGTACCGCATGGGCTGGAAGAGCGCCGGGTACGCCGCGTTCATCGGCATCGGCACGCCCGGCGCGGGCAGGGCCAGCTGCGTGCTGGTGCTGCTGCTTCCTAATGCCCCTGCTGCTGCTCCTCCTCCTGCTCCTCCTCCTCGGGCCTCCTCTGTCACGCTGCGGGCTCCTGCTCCTGGCAGTGGCTTGCCGTTCGCGTCCACCTTCCCGGCCTTGATGTCGGCCTTGAGCTTCCTGCACTCGTTCTTGAAGTGGTTGGGCTTCCCGCAGTAGTGGCACTCCTTGCCCGAGGCGGGGTTGTGGGTGTCTTTGGTCTTGGCTTTGCCCTTGGAGTCCTTTCCTTTCCCTTTGGAGTCCTTCCCCTTGCCCTTGGAGGTCTTGCCTTTGCCGTCCTTGACGGCTCCGATCAGCATGGGGTCGTCGACGTCCTGGGCCCACGTCCGCTTGGCCACGGCGAAGTTCAGGACCTCCGCCCGCAGCCTCTGGAACGTGTCCAGACGAGCGGCGTTGAGCAGGAGGTGATCCCGGACCTTCGTGTTCTGCATGCCGCCCACCAACGTCGAGATCTTGACGTCCTCGTCCAGCACCTTCCCGCTCTGATTCTCGTAACGCCGGACGTCCCGCTCGAAGCTCTCGATCTCCTTCGCGAGGTCGCCGTTCGGGTCCTTGCCGAACTCGCGGCGCAGGAGTGCGTGCAGCACTGCGCCATGGCGGACTCGCACGTCTGGTTCGTACTCCCAGCACAGCCGCCGCCAGGCCTCTGCGCCGTTGCCCTCCTCCACGTTGTGCAGGAGAAGGTGAGCGTCGTCCGTCGTCGTCATCACCAGCATGTAATACAGCTGGCGGCTCAAGGCGGCCGTGGCCTCGTCGAGATCTTGACCTTCCACGACATTGGCTCCCATCGCCTCCACGCGCGTGAAGAGCTCCGCCATGTTGGCATGCGCGGCGCAGGCGAAGGCATGGAAGACGAAACGGAACTCCCGCCACGCCTCGCGGTGCCCTGAGAAGCTCGCCGGCTTCCCCAGGGTCCGCGTGTCCACGGTCGCGCCGCCAAGGCGCTCCAGTAGCGGCTGCTGCGGTGCCGCCGCGGGCGCGGCACGAAGCTGCGCGAGCTCGGCCTGCGCCGCCTGCAGGCCTTGCTCCGCGGCCTGCCCGCGCTGCTGCTGCCGCTGGAGCTCCTGCACCAGTTCCTGCTGCCGCGCCTCCATGGCCTGCAGCCGCTGGGCCAACTCCTCCATCGTCCCCGCCGGAACGACGCGCGCGGGCGCCGACGGAACGCCCGCCGCGCTTGCTGGGCATGCACTGCCGCAGACCGCGGGGCTACCGCAGGTCGCGGGTCCCAACCAGGCGCGGGGCTAACCGCTGCCTAGTGGGCTTCCCAGGCGCGGGGCTACCCGCTGCCTAGGGGGAGCCGCGGACTGAAACCGCAGGCTCCGCTACCATGCGCGAGTACGAAACTCGCGGGAGCGATCGCAGATGGGAGGGAAAGAATAGGGCGCTCTTTTCCTCCACGCTCGGATGCTTGAGCCAACGGTTACGGACACGATAGCTTGCACCGCGAACGCCGCGATGCACAATCCCATGATGTGGGATAGCTCATGTCCGCACGCTGCTACACAATGATCTGCACAAACTTGCATCAGGCTTGCTACCTTCACTTTCCTAGGCTATGTAGTTCACCAGGTACTCCGCTTTCGCCTGAGACCTCTTGTCTATTCAATCAAGCGCCGCGCTCTCGACACTTGGGAGTCGCACCCTTGCACACACTTTACCGAAACATCTCGCTCCCGCCACTCATACATTGCAATCTCGCAAAGGACTTCCTTTCAGTGACTTCAAACACGGCGATGGGCTCTGGCACGCTATACTCAAAAACCCAGACCCCCGACGTCATGATTTCTTCACGACGTCGACCCCCAGAGGTCTGGACCTCTTCCCCGGTACCGGTCTTTCATCCTGACTCGTTTGTTGACGGCCCCGGGGCCCGGTGAGGGCCCCCAGAGGCCGAAAATGTGGAAAAACCTCCTGTCGTGACTTCTTCACAGCGCGAGGGGGTCTGGGAGTCGCGCTTCAGTGTCCTGCCCGCCAGACACGCCCGTCGGGGTCCGCACGCTCGACACGCCAGTCGGGGTCCGCCGCTTCGCTTGCCCGCGATGCCGCCCGGCCACTGCGAGGTACTGCCCGCCCTGCCCATGAGGGCTAGCGCGCCCTGTCCGCCCGTTAGGGTTCGCCTGGTCGACCCACGCGTTAGGTCTGGCCCGCTTGACGCGCCTGTCTGTGTCTGGGCTCACGGTAGTACCCATACCTTCTCGCGATGCGAAGCAATCACGATGGGATTTGCCTCGCTATTTCCAGCCTCTGGGGGCCCTTTACTGGGCCCGGGGGCCGTCCAAAAACGACTCAGGATGAAAACCTGATCCCGGGAAGGGGTCCAGATATCTCGGGGTCGACGTTGCTAAAGAATCGCGGCGTCGGGGGTCTGGGTATTCGTATGCAAATCAAGTCCTCCGAAGGGGGGGGAACGAAGAGGGGGGCAGCCGAGAGCGTGGGGCACACATGTTGGACGACTCGCGAGCAGAAGCACGGACGGTCTCAAAATGATTGTTGTTGGTCTCGCGATCATCGCCGCTCGCCCCGCGACACATCCGCGGCCTGCTTGCGGCCCACCCCGCGACCTGCCCCACGACCCACCTCGCGACCCCTCCGCCTCGCCGCCCCCGAGGCCCACACGCGACGCGACCCCGCGACCCACCCACGCTGCTCTGCAGACGCAGAGCCGCATATGGCGGGCTGGCTGCGTACGAAAGAAGCAATGCCTGCGCGGTCTTATTCACATTGGCTTCTGGACCTCGCGAGCAGCTCACGATCCGCCCGCGAATCAGCCCCTCGCTGCTTTGCAAAAAGATCGGCGCCTTCGGCGGGCTGGCTGCTTAGAACAGAATCGGCGCGCCCCGCGGTATTTGTCACGCGTGCGCTCGCGCACCGAACCCCCAGCGAAACACCCCCCACACACCCTCACTCTCATTCGTGATTGCGTGGCATTGGCACGATCATCATCATCATCATCATCATCATCATCATCATCATCATCATCATCATCATCATCAGCATCATAATCATCAGCATCATCATCATCAGCAGCAGCAGCATCATCACCAGCATCGTCATCATTATCGTCATCATCACCACCACCATGAGCATAATCATCACCACCACCACCACAATCATCATCATCATCACGATCATCATCATCACCATCATCAGCATCGCCATCATCAGCATCATCATCATCACGATCATCATCATCACCATCATCATCATCATCATTATCACCACCACCATCATCATCAGCATCCTCATCCTTTTTTCTCGTGGTGAGCAGCATCGTCATTAGCATCGTCAGGATAATCCTCATCTTTCTCCTTATCAAAAACGAAGACTTCTCACACGTTGAGCCTGAGGAAGTCGTTCGCAACAACATGTGCTGAACCAGAGACAAGCTATGGGGCAGTGTCTGTTGCAAGACATGAACGGGGTATTCGGCACGGGGTACACGCGCAAGGGCAGTGCAAGGAGGAGCAATGCCCCTCCTCCTTTTTACGGCTCACCTCTCCTCCTCCTCACACCTCCCATTCGTCCTCTTCGTTCCGCATCTGTTTTTAGTTTCTCGGGCTCTAGGTCTGACCCTGAAGCGTTATTGTTATGCCTTATCCCTCCTCCTCCTATCTCGTCCTCCTCCTCCTCCTCCTGTCCCTATCATACCCTCCTCCCTCCTCCCTCCCTCCGCCTCCTCCTCCTCCTCCTCCTCCTCCTCCTCCGCCTCCTCCACCTCTCCTGCTCCTCCCTCCCTCCCCCTCCTCCCACCCCTCTCCTCCTCCTCCTCCCGCTCCCTCCCTCCCTCCTCTGGCTCCTCTCCCCCGCCATCCTCCCCTCCTCCTCCTCCTCCTCCTCCTCCTCCTCCGCCATCCTCCATGCCCCCCTGCCTCCTCTTCGATGCCCGCGATGCGGCGGAGAGGGGGATTTGCCCGCGGCCACACCCCCCTCCAGGGTCAAGATGTGAAACACCGAACCTGTAAAGCCACTCCTGTCCCATCCTCCCGCTCCCCCCCAAGGAGCGCCTGCGGGACTGCCAGACGCGAAAGAACCCGCAAGGAGGAAGAAGAGGAACCTGCGGGGCTCGGGCCCTCGAGGTGGAAGGTCCACGGTTCCGAGCGCTCCACCTCCCCTCCCCCCTGGCAACCCGCTCCGCCTGAGCTTCCGGAGCTCTTGGTTCTTAGGATCTGGCCGCCATGTCCTTCCTTCCTCCTGCACTCCTCCTCCTCCTCCTCCTCCTCCCCATCCTCTCCTCGTCCTCCTCCTCCCCTCCTCCGGTTCCCCCCCCTCCTCTCTCTCCTCCTCCTCCTCTCTCTCCCCTCCCCTCCTCCTCCTCCTCCTTCCTCCTCCTCCCTCCTCCTCCTCCTCCTCCTCCTCCTCCTCCTCCTCCTCCTCCTCCTCCTCCTCCTCCTCCTCCTCCTCCTCTATTTCTTTTCCTTCTAGATAACTCCCCCTGTCGCACCCCGAGACCAGCTTTTAGGGCGGGACGGGTGTTTCGCCTGAGACTTCCTCACTGTCTATGACTCTGAAGCGTGAAAAATGGCAACAGTTTCACAGATGGAGGGCAGATGGTTTTCAAGATGTGGCTCTCGCCTTAGCGCCGCGCACATTCGTTCTTGCAAGAATCTCACGGATTGACAGCGTCGTTATGAAATGCGGCTCTCGCCTTAGCGCCGCGCACATTCGTTTCAAACAGTTACAAGAGCTTCACGGATTCAGGGCGGGTCGTTATCAAATGTGGCTCTCGCCATAGCGCCGCGCACATTCATTTTAAACCACTGCAAGGGTTTCACGGATTGAGGGCGGGTCGTTATCAAATGTGGTTCTCGCCATAGCGCCGCGCACATTCGTTTAAGCAAATTCCAAGAGTTTCACGGATTGAGGGCGGGTCGTTATCAAACTGTGGCTCTCGCCTTCGCGCCGCGCACATTCGTTTTCAAAAGTTGTAAGAGTTTCGCGGATTGAGGGCGGTTATGTTTCAAACTGTGGCTCTCGCCTTCGCGCTGCGCACATTCGTTTTCAACATTTGCAAGAGCTTTACGGATTCCTATGATCAGCGTACCAGAAACTGCGTTTTAGAGAGATTCAGGATTATGCAGGTCCAACAGTGCTGTTGATGCGCGGTGTTGAAGGCCCAGAAACGGCGCTCTGGCACGATTCCGGATCGTCAAGATGCAGCAGTCAGGTTGATGCGTGGCGTTGAAATCCCGAGAACAATGTTTTGGCATGCTGCAGGATCTTCAAACGGTTGTCTTCCAACGAGACAGCTCCCTCAATGGAAATGAACCGTTGTGGGGGCCTATGAAGAGGGAGCTTGGAGGGAGGGTTAATTCCAACATCGTTGATGACTCTTGGTTTTGCACTGGTCCTCCTCCTCCTCCTCCTCCTCCTCCTCCTCCTCCGCTTCCTCTCCTCCTGCCTCCCGGCGCCCCGCCCCGCCCAGGAGCCGGGGCATCTCTGGGGATCGCGCGCCACCCCGAGCTTCGGGCGGGGGCCGGCGGCTTGCGGGGCGCCGCCACGCGCCGAGAGCCACGCTGGCTGCAGCGGCGCGCTCGCTCCTCTCTCGCTCGGACCTGGCTTGACCTGGACGAGAGAGCGAGGCGTCGTGATCAACCCTCTCCTCTTCCCTCTCCTCCTCCCCTCCTCCTCCTCCTCCTCCTACTCCTCCTCCTCCTCTTCCTTCTTTATGGGACACACAGTCCTGGCAACTGGGACGCGCAGTCCCTGTTATGGGACACGCAGTCCTGGCAAATGGGACGCGCAGTCCCTGCTATGCGACACACACACTCCTGGTAAATGGGACGCGCAGTCTCGATTATGGGACACACAGTCCTGGCAAATGGGACGCACAGCCCCTGTTATGGGACACGCAGTCCCCGCGCATTGGAGGATGTCCCATGTAAATCGGAGGTGAGGGGGAGAGATCGAAGTGGAACGGATAGGTGGCAGTATCAGGCATGGGGGTGGGGGGCTTACCAGCCACCGTGCAAAGGGCCCGCGTGTAGGCCATGGGCGGTCATAGGCCGCGCAGTGGAGGGCATTGGCGCGAGTGTTGCACAACATAGGCGTGGTAGCAGCCGCATCTTCACAAGTGTTGCATTCAGAACATGGCGTGCCACCATTGTTAGGGCACGAAGCGGTAAAACATTACCAGTGCCTTAAACGACAGCCGTGACAATCCTCCTCTTCCTCCTCCTCCTCCTCCTCCTCCTCCCATCCTCCTCCATCCCTCCTCCTCCCTCCTCCTCCGCCGCCTCTCCTCCTCCTCCTCCTCCTCCTCCTCCTCCTCCTCCTCCTCCTCCTCCTCCTCCCCCTCGTCTCTTCTTCCTCCTCGACCTCCATGTGCGCCTGCGCCCACGCCTCCGCTGCCACCTCTGATGGTGCTGCTCCTGCTCCTCCAAATCGTGCTCTTGCTCCTCTCCCTCTAATATTTCCCGCTGCATCTCCCCCGGAGGGCCCCTCCCCTTCCCGCCCCTCCTCCGCCTCCCCCTCCCCGAACCCAACCCTGTGTCTAACTACCTACCAGACTGCCCCAACCGCTAACCCGAAGACCCAAATTTCGGGTCGGGGGGGAAGGGTTCCACATGTTTTTTTTCAAGATTGCCCGACGCCGCCCCCCTGGGAATGGAGGGTACCTTGGGGCGTACGGGTTGGGTTTCGGTGATCTGGTGCATGGCCATTGATGGTTGTCGAATCGACGAAAAAGTGAACGCATTTCCCGTAGGCTCGACGAAAACACAAAAACTTGAAATAACACGATTCTGTAGCCGACTCCCTACTCGACTGGCTCCTCCTGCTGCTCCTCCGCCTCTCCTCAGATACGAACGCGTTCTGCCCCCGATCCATCCGGTCGCGGTGTCAAGCCTGATTCGTTCGGGTGTTGCTAGAAGTATACCCCTGGTCCGAGGTGCCCCCAACTTTTCGCTCCATTTTTCGGGGGGGAAGGGGTGATTGCCCCCCTATGGAGGGTAGTATGATCTGGTGCATGGCCTGTCGAATCGACGACGGTAGGCGGACCCCACACGATTCTGCCCCGACTCCTACTCGATTCTCCTCGATACGAACGCGTTCTGCCCCGATCCATCCGTCGCGGTGGCCTGAGGGTTCTGGAAGCCTCCGTGAGGGAGATATCGGGGCCCTCCGGGTCGCACGGGGTGCTCTGGGGGCCGCTTGGGCTGCCCCGAGAATTCTGGGGGCACCTTGGCCCAGGGGCACTTCCAGCAACACCCGATGCGTGCATCGGGCCCCGATCCGCGACCGGATCCCCGGATCCTCCGCTCAGGGGCCCCGCCATCCCCGATCCGCGGCGGGTGCCGCAGAGCTGCGCGCCCCCTCATTTATTTTTCCGTCTGGGGCCCTTTTGCTCCACGACGGGCTCCTGCCTGCCGACCAGAAAAGGCTCTCGCCCACGACGCATGCAGTGCCGACCTGGTAAGGCTTCGGGTGGAGCCCGGGCAGGGCCCCCAGGTAGTCCCAGCTGGCCTCGACAGGCCCCCCGCAGTAGAGGAGGAGGAGGAGGAGGAGGAGGAGGAGGAGGAGGAGGAGGAGGAGGAGGAGGAGGAGGAGAAGGAGGAGGAGGAGGAGGAGGAGGAGGAGGAGGAGGCACCCTGGCGCCGCCTCCAGAGGCGCCCCTTGGGGCTCTCCGCGCCCCAGTGTGTTGAGGTGCGGAGAGTGCCGCGGGCTACTCGGGAGGCCTGTTCAGGCCAGCAGCGACTACCCCGGGTAGCTGTCTGAGCGCCACCCGGTCTGAGCGCCACCCGAAGCATTACCATGCCCACCCTTGGGAAGGAGGAGGAGGAGGAGGAGGAGGAGGAGGAGGAGGAGGTTTTTTTGCTGCAAGAACGATGCCTGGCGGTCCCCGCCCCAGCTCGCCACATGTGAGACGGATGGGCGGGCACTCCACCTCGGGGTGCCATCCCGCCCCTTCCAGATCAGTCCATGAGGCGTTCCCAGAACGCTGCGCACTCCCCCTGTGCCAGGGAGCGCGGCTCTGCCTCCAGGGAGACCTTCACTGCATAAGGATTTTTGCCTCGGCGCAGGAGCGAGAGGCGGTACTCTGCGGTGGGGTTCGCAGGGGCCCCCACGCAGGCAGCCAAGAGCTTGCACCCCCTCTCGCTCGAGAACACACCGCACCGATCGCAGAAAGTATACTGGCCCACGCGGTGCAATTCGTGCCCCAAGGCCGCACCGCGGAGGGCGGGAGAGATGACGCCTTCCCCACCCCCCCCGCCCCAACCCAACACCCCACCGACGATCCACCCTCATCTTGCCCTGGCAGGGCCTGCGCGCCAACGCGCGCCTGGTCTTGCAAGAGAAGGCCTTTCGCCCGCACGTCGAGCAACGCCACGCCCCCCTCCTCCAGAGGAGGACGTGGGCGCGGGCCCCTTCGGGCGGCCCTTGCCGCCGTCGGCGGGCCCCGCTGGAGCCCGCGGCAGGCCTCCCCGTGGAATCCCCGAAGTCCGCCGTAAGCCCCGTCACCCCCGCCACCAGAGTCAACACCGCCTGGACCTCCGCAGAGCGGGTGGCCCAGGTCTGGGCCTTCCACGGGGGGACCTCCTGCATGTCGGCCCCAAGGCGGGCCTCACAGTCTGCCAACTGATTCCCTTGAAAATCGAGAAAGCTCTCGTGCGAGTCATCCTTTGGCCCGCTAGGGGCTTTTACCTTGACGGCCTGGAAATCACCTTCCTGACTGAAGCTGTCCTGGATCTGGGCCAAGATTCTGCCCCAGAGGTCGGCGTGTGGCCTCCTAGGGCTGCAGCACCAGCTGGGACCTCTACGGAGGCCTCGAATGACTGAACTGTTGTCTACCCCTACCCTCAGAGGCGGGTGAGCGCTATTCAGCAGCTTGAGCAGTCCATACAGCTCAGCACGCAAGACGGAGGCTAGGCTACGCAGTCCTGGGAGGGTCCCCCGCATGGCCTTAACAGCCCCCCCGTCCTGGTCCAGGAAAACGTAGCCCCAACCGAAACTCTTAAGCCCTGGTGGGCCTCTGGCCAATCCGTCGGAGTAGGCCCACCCTGAGACCAGCGGGGGATTAACAAAATCGGGGTTCTCCTCCTCCAGGGCAGAAATCCAATCAGACTGCGGGTCCTCCAGGGGGTGCTCGTGAAGCCCACGGGAGAAAAGGAGGGAGTCCGAGGTGGAGGATTCAGCACGATACACGATCCCTTGGAGGCCCTCATCCCCGGCTACGGTGGCTCTCGCTGCTCCTCTATCTGGGCAACAAAGGAAACGATGGTGTTGGCATCCGACTTCAGCGCCGCAGGCTTGACAGGCCCTGTCGCCCCCGAAACCCGCACGCCAGACCGTGTCCTGGGTCCAGAAGTCGCGGCCCATGTAGGCCAGGATAGCCGATCGCCTCTGCGGCGATCGGTTAGCCTTCCGTCGAAGGAGAGCCCTAATAGGCTCGAGGAAGGGACGGGTGATCCCGAGGTCCCTGGAAGCCGCCCAGGAGGTCATCACCGCAAATTCCAAACGGGACCAGATCAGCTTCTTAAGACACTGCGGTGCTGTCCTGCGCAACTCCCACTGCTGCCCGAGATGGTCGGAGAAAACATGATAGGCAGGCCACGTCCACGAGAGGAGTCTGAGTGTGGCCCAGACGGCTGAAGCGGGTCCTTTTATCTGCCTCCAGGGGTTGCTCCCAGGCTTGGCGGCAGCGGCCGCCGCGACAGCTCTGCGCCACCCCGCAGCCATGATCTCCTCATGGCTGCCAGCAAAGATAGCCTCCGCCCATTTGAGCAGTGGCTTCGTGCAGGCATCGACCAGGGGGTCGCAGCGCAGCGTCCACAGGCGGAGCAGTCGGTCCTTACCGATTGCGTTCCCGCCCAGCGCCGAGGCCATGAGCGCCCTTGCTCGGGTGAGCCGAGTCGGGCCCATTCCGAGGCAGACCGCCCCATACAGCACAGAAGGGAGAAATCCCATGCGCGCAACTTGAAAGGTGCGCGCGCCCTGCTTGCCCAGGCTTGATAACTTACTTCTACGCCGCCTAGCGCTCCCCATCCTGGCATCGCCTCTGGTGCGCAGCGACACAACTCCTCCTCCCGCCGAGTCGACTCCGAGCTGCGAGCTGCTGGTCTGGACCTCCAGTCCAAGGCTGCGGGCCCAACCTTTGATGCGGGCTCTCAAGGAGCGCTGCGCTGTCAGGATGAACCCCTTGCCCGTTGGCTTGTCTGGTCGGACCCTGGAGACTGGGATCCCACGGGCCTCCATCTCTTCTATATACTGGGTTGTGGCCTCATGCATCGAGGCCGAGACATCTGCCTCCGCACCTCGGGCCTGAATGCTTAAACCGTCGACAAAAAGCTTCATCGGCATGGCAGGGTGCTCCTGCGCCAGCCCGTCTACGACTGACAAGATGGCTAGCTTGAGGCATCTCGTGCCCCCGCTGCTACCCGGAATGACTGCTGAGAATGTGGTGACCGAATGCACCGACACCACGCCGCGGAAAGAAACAAAGCGCCTGGCCGTGTATATCGAGATTAAAGCTTCAAAAGCTGCAACCGAAACTGGTGCTTGGGCGCCTCGGCCCAAAGCAAGT